AAACAAAACAAACGAATTGCGCGAATTACAAAATAATACTATCGAGTTTTTTTATTTGTATTACATGCGTAAGGATAAAGCGTACAAACCGTGCTAGATGACTTTTTTGATTAGACGCGTATCTCGGAAGGAAATCGTGTTTACTTGACACGTGTTTCATTCCAAAAACTTTTTTCGCGCACTGTAGTTAGTATATGTATCTGAAGTTACGCTGCCACTAGGTGTAATCGGAAGCACGGAGGTGTAAATGAACCGAAACTTCATTACGACAAAACCGAAGGTAATTGTCGGTGTGGTGAATAGGATACTTTATAATTCCTCGATCCATGATGTTTGGATAGTTGTGAAAATTTCTTCTCCGTTACGACAAAACTGAAGGTAACTGTCGGTGTGGTGAATAGGATACATTAACCATTTAAATTGAAAGCGCATCGTGGCCACAGCTTGCGAAAGTTGCCAGGCGGGTATCTAGCCCCGGCGTACGGTGGACGGCCTGCTGTGAACGTTCTTCATCTGGTTGATTATGACACATTTGCTCATTATGCTCTCATTATATAGCAACGGACCGGCCGATAGTGGTATTGACATATTCGTAGCGCATAAAGGTATAGAATATGCGATACAATGTAAAAAATATAAAGGTGGAGTTGGTAATTAGATTTTATTATACGAATTATACGAATAAATAATAATAACATTAATTTATAATTATATAATTTATATTAAGGACCCCAATTTATCTTGAACCTGAGAGGGACACTTGAGGATTGCGTTCCAGGAGGTGTAGGTGTCTTGGTGACCGAATATTTCAACAAAGATACCTATGCTTCCGCAGAATCGTCAAATCCCGATATTATTCTCGCCCATAAGGGAAATCTTATCGAAAAAAATATTGAAAATTTAGATGTTAAAGTTGCTGAGAGGTTGGATAATAGGCTTAGTATGATTGAAGATACAGTATGTAATGAAGTGAGGGAATTGAGGAATGAAGTTAAGGAAGTGAGGGAAAAATTTGATAAATCTGAGGAGACGTTTGAGAATTCGCGTAGAAGGAGTGAGAAGTTTTCTTTTCTTATTTCGTTTTTGTTATTTTCTATGATGTTGTACATAATTATTTATAAATAAATAATAACAAAAGCTATGTAAAAAAAAACTCTTTTTTTTAATGGTTCGTAATATTTTATTCCATTCCTTTAACTGTTGCCAATGTGTGTGCAAAAAAATGACGAGAATATTAAGTACGATTTAAATTTCGATATTCCGATTCGCTTGATTCTTCCAAAATCGGTTTTCGTCATAATCCGGAATAACGTAACAACAAGAATCCAATAGTCATATAACTTATATGTTTGTTAACCATAACTGTTGTCGAGGTGTATACTAAAAATTGATACAGAATATTAAGTACGATTAAATTTCGATATTCCGATTCGCTTGATTCTTCCAAAGACG